TTTTTTTTTTTCTTTCTTTCTTCTTCTTTTTCTTTTTTTTCTTATCAGTTCAAACAAGAACAATGAATTCCTCAAGCTCAAGCAAGAATGTGACAAGGTGTCAACAAAGCCAGCAGGAAGGTGATGTATGGCCCATAAATCACTCTGCAGCCAGGCCACAGAGAGCCAGCCCCGCCCAACACGCCCGCCCAGCATGGCAGCCCAGCACGGCAGCCCAGCACGCCCGCCCAGCACGGCAGCCCAGCACAGAACATGAGCTCCTTCCGCCCCAGACTGCCCCACACCCACCCCACTCCAGGCCCTCGCCCGCCACCCAGCCCCTGGCCTGCTGCACGTCCCCCCTCCAGGCCCTCGCCCGCCACCCAGCCCCTGGCCCTGCTGCACGTACCCCACTCCAGGCCCTCGCCCGCCACCCAGCCCCTGGCCTGCAGAGCATTCAGAAAGCTGTTTCCCCTCCTTGGCACACACTGGGCACATGAGGCAGGGTGCTATGTGACTTAATGTGCATTATGGACACGTGTTGACGTGGCTTCCTTGAAGGCCATTTGGGAAATTCTACATGATGAAACCTTAATTTCAAAGGCTTGAAATGGCTAAAAAAATAAAAAATAAAAAAAATTGTTCTTAGGTTAAAATTTGATTTAGAATGCTTGGGCTTAAGTGGTGAAATGGTTCTCTGGTTTTCAAAGATCAGAGACCAGAAACCGTTTTGCCTGCTTTATACATGACGTGAAGAGAAAGTGAGCGGTACCAGCCTGGAAGCCCTTCCTGTGTCACAGGGTTTGGTTTTCTTGAAAGAAACATTGAGTGTGTAGTTGTGCACACACTGAAATTAGGGAGGGAGTGGGAAAATTCAGTATTCCAGACTCGGGGCTTGGGTAACTTACTGGCAAATACATAATTGCCAAATAAGGTATTTTCAGTCACCATTTTAATGGATCTAATTATACTGAACTGTTCATACCATGATTTGGGAGTGAATATACTGTGTGAATTCCTAACATAAAAATTCTGAAAATACTTAAATACAAATGATTAACTAGTTCTGCAACAACTTAGAATCTGGATCATGTGAACAACATGATACACAACTTCTTTGAAAAAAAATACATATTTAATTAACAGACCAGAACAGCTAAGTAAATCATTTATAAACATGCATTCATATGATAGGCTGACTGGTACTATGGCATTCCTATACAACAATTTCAGGAGAAAAAGAACTTCTGAAGATACAGCTTTGTTGAAAACTAAAGACCACACCAAAAGAGGAAAAAAACTCAGGCCTCCCCGTGATGATGGGAACCAGGGCTCCATTTCTCACCTCCAAACACTATCTGTTTTTTTAAATCAAATATTTTTCAAACAGTTGGAGCAGCAGATGAGTTGATTCTCTAACCTCGCTCATTCTTTAATGCTAGCAAAACAATTCAAAGAAAAAAGCAAATAAGAAAAAAAAAGAACATCTACCAAATAGGTATTTCAAACTCGTAGGGACTTGACTGATGGTTGATATAAGCTTAGTATTAAAAACAACAACAAAAACATGCAAAACCAAGGTGGCACCTGTGGCTCAAGGAGAAGTGCGCCAGCCCCATATACCAGAGGTGGTGGGTTCAAACCCGGCCCCGGCCAAAAACACACAAAACTGAATACATGAAAATTTGAATTAAGGACTCTTTGCAACACAGTATGGTCTTTGAAATAATAAACTAACGGTTGATATAAGTCACAAGTTCTAGCACGTGTGAGTAGAGTGACCGAGAGTAACATTTACCCGTTTAGGAACACGGCGATTCATGTTAGATGCGGTACATCTGGTATGTCCGCCCACGGGACAGCCAAAGCAAGTGTGAACTGAACCACTACCTTCTGGGCTGAGGAGGGAGGAGTGAACACTCAATTTGGGACAACCTTGGAAAAATTACTTACAGAATTAACTCCACTTAAATCTAAGTGTTTCTTTTTATTTTTACGCATAGCATTTAAACAAAACTCACTCTGACCACAGTGTCAACTTCACGTGGTAATTCTGAAAGAATACCATGGAGCTGGCAGCCTTTCTGGTTCAGTGAAGAGAGAGAAGATAAAACGAGAACATGCAGGTCCCTGAGACCCCAGTTTCCTGACTAGGAAACCCTGTGTGAAGAGCTACATTTGTCTCCGAAAGTGACCCTGTTTTCCTACCATCCAGCTCCAGACTGCAAAAGAAAGGATGAGAGCCTTGCAGCCAGCTATTCAAACTCTTCCAGTACTGTTAACCAGACTTGTGAAATTTTAATCTTCCTATACAGATAACCAGGTAAGTTAGAATCATGATCATTCTTTTATTTCTTTAAAAAAAAAAAAAAAAAGGATATCCTGCCAACTCTTAGGAAAGTTCTGTGGGTAAACCTGGGCAGCCAGGGGCTTCCTGTGTATCAGCTCCAAGACCCAAACCTGCAGATCTCCTGGACATGACTGTGGAACAGCCGGCAGGACACCTGAGGCCACCCCCACCTCCTCCTAAGAGCAGCACCTTCTAGAACAGCTGGCAAGACCCCTGGGGTCACCCAGGCCCCCTCCTCAGAGCAGCAGTTTCAGACGGCTTCCTTACTGCCCACACCCGGGCTGTGTTGGAAGAGCAGTTCCTTCCCATGGAAAAGAAGGTGGCTGAAATGTGCTGAGTGTGACAGCCGCTGTGAGCGCAAGCTGCAAGTGATAGGGTGTCTGCAGCGTGGGGGCCGCCTGCATTCACGGCACTAAAGACTTCAACATGCATTTTCACATGACGTGTCTCAAAAAGACTGATGAATCCCCAACTAGGTAGTAGATTTATACAGACTTAAATTACATGTATTTGTAAATATTTCTTGTGTGTTTTATATTATCTTTATTATTTATATTACATACTTATCAATTTTATTTTAAATTTGCAAAATGAAATAAGCTTTACCTTCATAGATAATAAATGGAATCAACGAAAGAG